CTCATGCTGTTGATCACTGGATTGTCTGGTCCAGACTCGATTATTTACAGACCGCTGCCATATAGCTGGAATATTGCTGAGTGCGGCGTTAAACTAAACTCACTCACTCACACTCACTTATTTGTCAGCTAGGTATGCAATTACATCACAGTGCAGCAACGGCCAGGCAGCATCACAGAGGTGATCGTCAGCCCACCTCCCTAGCCGCTGTCCGAGGGTCAAGTCCCGTTACATTAAGAATTCATTGTCTATATATACATGTATGTTCAACCTGCAGTATCCAGCATGCACCTCATCCACAATGTTAAACTTCCGTGGTCAACCGGCCATACACTAAAGTTAATTAGGGTTAATTACACGCAGGCAGCTGACCTGTACATGGCTGTGCTGATGGTCATGATAATAAGCTGCTGATATTTCATTTATATTGTCAGCACTGTGATTTAGATTTAGATAACTTTAACTTAACTCAGAGAATATGAAACCCATACCCCATCAAACTGCCTAGGACACTAGATCTGGTTTCATCCGTTTCTGTGAAAGGAAAAAGAATTCATGCATAACATCTTCGATCATCAGAATTGTCCTTCTTGTGACGATAGACACATAACAATATTATGTTATTATTTCATAATATCTCCCCGTGTTAGAACATAATTTGAAAATCATCGACCGCGAGATTCATTACGACTTTGATTTGGAAAAATAAAGATCTACACACCAGCGGCAATATTGAGGCGAAAAATATACAACAAAAGAAAAAATGACAACTACAGTTGATAACAGCTAACAGTAACCCATTGAAGGTGTTTAATAAGATTTTCTAACACCCTTTGTACGTGTCTTGTCACCTAAAAAACCTGCGAGTTTGGCCACGCCCTTACGCGTCACCCATGCCTGTCAACAATGTCGGAAGGTTTGTCAAACAAAATCATTATAAACTCGATAAATATGATAATTATCCCCCGCCTCGCGTTTAGCGCGAGCCGGGGATATAGTATTAGGCTCCGTCCGTACGTCCGTACATACGAATTGGAATATCTAAAGAACCCTTGACTGGATTCTTTTCATATTTGGTACCTAGGTTCATCACAGTAAAAGAAAGGTACCAGTCAGGTTTGGTGACCTTGACCTTCATTTCAAGGTCACAAGGGGACTTTACCTTTTTAACCTTGTCAGCAAGATATCTCAAGAACCGTTCACTGGATTTTCTTCATATTCAACACCAAGCTTATCTAGGGAAGGCAAAGTGCCCAGTTTATTTTAGTGACCTTCACCTAATTTTCAAGGTCATGGCGACACTTTGACGTTTTCAGCATCTTAAACTGCATGTTAAGATTGTCAGCGAAATATCTCAAGAACAGTTCACTGGATTTTCTTCATAGACTTTCAAGACTTCCCTTGAATGTTTTTCAATAAGCAATTTCTTTATTACTATTTTTGCATATTTCATACACCATGACATTCATGTCAAGGTCAAAGTGAGTCTTGAAAATATTTGTGCGTTTGAACAACTACAGAGCAAGATATCAAGAGAGGTTGACTGGTCATGTTTTTGTTTACATTTAACTTCATCTTAAATTATGACCTTCACTTTCATTACTTTTTAAGTTTGATTTGATAATTTGCGGCGGGGGATTATGTCACCTTAGTGACAGGGCTTGTTTTTTTACAAAGACAATAACAGACACTGAATCAGACCATGTAATTAATTCCAGCAAAAATAATTGGATCTATCAAAAGGATGGCATAATTTTTTCGATATCACGATGCATGTGGAATTGTTTGTTTCATCCAATCGGTGATGTAACATTGAGATTGTTTTTGTTTATAACTAATTAAACCGAAAGTTACTAATTTTTCGAAAATATGAAACTTCAGTGTTTTCTCTTCACCAAAGAACAAAAATATTGATCAAATTTTGAAAAAATTATTTCATAATGAAGAAATATTAGACTGGGTACCACTCGACGTGATGTGCACGAAGTCAACAATGGTCGTTATTTGTGGCTGTGTGCGGAGAAATTTGTCGAACAAATTTTTCATTCGCAGTCATTTCATTTTAAGATACATAAACTAATTGAATTATATATTTAGAAAGCTGAGAATTAATGCATTCCATACATAATTCAAAGGACACATAATCCGACTTGTTGAATAATTTTTGCAAGTTTCATTGGGGGATGTTATTATGCTGCTGTCCTTTCGAATGGGTTCGACAGTAGCATTGAGTGGATTAAAGGCCAGGGTTCAGACCTATACAGAGATGTGGTGTGGCCTCCTTCCGATGCAAGCAACGCAGTATTCAAGTACATTCCATGAAATATCACAAAATTGACTTCCCGGTTCATGATGAAATTCCCAGCAGGCACATAAAGGTCTAATAGATTGAAGATAAAACAGACACTACTATAAACCTGGATCCGAAAACAATCCTTTTGGGCTTACATGAAAAACGTAACGATGTTCTGAACTTAATATTTATCATAACAAAGGAATATATATATTCCAGAAAACTAGCAAATATACGTCCAACCCTTGAAAGTCTCAAAGCCAAATTAAACCACAGTTACAATCTCCATAAATATAATGCATACTCGGTATGCAAATATAGCAAGTTCACGACTTTCTGGTCATCATGCCACAACTTATTTACATAACCTACTCGATCTCACTTATGCTTGTTACTTCATTGTGCTGTGTATTTGAAATAATGTTGTGTATGAATGATAAGACTGTACCAATGCGTAAAAAAGAAATAAAGTGAAAAAAAACAACAACAAAAACCCGTCTAATAGATGCCTAAATGACGTCTACACAAGACGTCTAAATGTTGTTCAAAATGAAAGTCGAGAAGACGTTGAAGTTGTTTAAATGTCAAGATAGTGTACAAACTCTGCATCTTCAGAAAATGAATCAGAATCACCATCCTCTACAAAGACTGAATATAACCTTGGCTTGTAACCATGCTGCTTAGATGTATTCTTTCCTTTACCTCTAGACCTGTATGAAACAGAAACACTAGCCTCAGGCTTCTTAGACTTTCTACTTTTGTACACTCTAGCTAAATGACCTTTCTTTTTACAAGATAGACAAGTTGCACCAATAGATCCACATTCAGATGGATGATGATCAGAATAACCACATCTATAGCACTGGAATGGTTTAGCAGGCTGCGAAGACACCTTAACCTTATTCACAGTAGTTAAATTTCCACAAAATGTTTTGGAATTCTCCATAGCCACCTCATATAATCTAGCTATCTTCAAAGTTGACTCCAAAGTCAAATTATCTTGCAATAAAAGTTTCTCTCGCAAATGTTTGGAATAGCTCTTTTCAACTATCTGATCATGACGCATTTCATCACTCAAAGTACCAAAGTCACGTGTTTTAGCAAGTCCACGTAAATCTGTCACATAAACAACAATGCTTTCATCAGAACTCTGTGCTCATGACCTAAATCTGTAACGTTCAGCAACAATGTTCCTCTTTGGAATGAAATAACCCTCCAATGTAGTTACAGCTGAAGCATAAGAGTCTTTTTCACCAGGTAACGTGTGAAATATACGTTGACATGGAAGTCCCAAACAATGAAGTAACGTTGCTCTTCTCACTTTATCTTGTTTTTCATCAACTCCACTGGCTATTTCAAACAATTTGAAAGATTCCATCCACAACTTGAATTCATTACTCAAGTCACTAGCGTTCATGTTCAAAGTTGGTAGCGGTCTATGACCTGACTCTGCCATTATGACGAAATTCTCCAACACGTCAAACGAAGTTATGAACGTGATATAGATGATGAGTAGAAGTAAATTCATTATGCTAGACAGTTCTGTAAGTGTTCAACACAAGTAGTAAAGATGATATCATGGGTCGACTGAAAAATCACGGGAAAACATGGCGGAATGTATCTCTGACTACGGGTCGGCTATATCGAGACTCGAAAAGTTCTGAGTTGATTCAGCAGTTAGTTAGAGTTCGTATAACTAACATGCCTAGTCTCACCACTTGAAATCCTAGGAAACAAACATCCTCGTCGCCAATGTAGTGTTCTGGGTCCTTCACTGCATGACCTGCTGTTCCTTAGAGGAGGGGAGACGACACAACTAAGTGTTGACGATATGCCTTTTACTTCCCGAGTGCCAGAGCATCCGGTACGCCACGCACATGCGCATTACATCACATGATGTATAATATCACTACGCTACAGTAGACCTCATCTAAAAGTTTAACAGATGTTTAACAGATGCTTCACATATGTGTATGAGGGCATGATGACGTTGTTTAACAGATGCTTCACATATGTGTATGAGGGCATGATGACGTTGACTGCCCCTTATTAGCATAATTAATGTGTTGCAATCTTGATTCATCTTCACTCCATCTGGATTCAAGGTTAAAACTCCAAACATAGATACAGTGGTATATTAAAGGCACAATCACACTTTTCGAAATAAAATTGGATATATTGGTGCATAAATACCTACTTTAGATTCCCATTGATGCAATAAAAGACTTATTGTTGGTTATCATGTATGACAGAATTGCAGTTTTATATTTTTATGGGAGGAGGTGTGCAATTGTGCCTTTAAAAGTAAATGGTTATTGACAATAAAATGATTGTTTGTAAATGAATATAAAAGAAATTTATTCAGTGTACAAAATGATGGCATCTTCACTCTGCTTCATTTGTACAAGTTCTACAAGATAGACCTTAAATAAAAAAATGTTTTGAATGACAAAATACATTTCAACATGTATTTTCAATGTACATTATTCAAATGTAATATATGCTGTATTTGGGAGTACACTTTCTCAGTTAAAACAGATTCTATTATTTTGTTGAGTCCCATGAGGGATTCGAACCCACACCCTCAGAGCCAGGAATCTAATCGCCAACACAAAGTCAGCTGATCAGCCACCCTGGCTAGTGGAGGCAATCTGGTTGTACTGATTGCGTTCTGCAGCCACCACCACACCTCCCAGGAGCATTTTTCAAAAACTTGGCCATCTCCTTATATACAATGTCCAGGGTCACCTTATAGGACTGTGTGATTGTATCTGAAAAAAAATTATTCCCTTGTTAAATATTTATGTCAGTATCTCATATGAGATATTAAACCAAGTTTGACATTATCAGTTATGCTTTTGTAAGAGCTTTAAGATAATTATAGAGAACATTGAGAATTAGTCTTGTGTGTTGACCACATCTACATATCTGTACACTGTAGGGCTGGTGGACTACCTAAAAATCTGAAAAACAACACCATTTAATACATTCATTCATTGAGAAGATATGTGAAGAAGTGTCTTACCTGCAATAAGTGAGCACAGTTTTGTGCTCTTGAAACCAAACTTGTCCCCATAGCCTTCCATGTTCATTTAAGCCATGAGTCCATTTGTCATGTACCTTTAACAGAATGCAAAAACATTCCTCAGTATGTTAACGGTAACTCTTCAAATTTTAAATTCTAAATTAACTCTTCAGAAAATAAATGCTTTAATATGTATTTATACTTGCATATTTATTTTGCACTCTTTCATTGTAATAAAACTAACAATACTGACATTTGTGAAGCCGAGAACAATTTAGAAATATTTATATATAAATCTATATTTTTATGCAATCTTATTCATTAAAGAACGAATAAACTTTTGTTTTTTGTACTCAAAAGGAATTTGCATGACACAACTTGTAACATAACGATTTCTTCCTTGGAAGCGAGGTTGTGGTCGAAGTGACAATAATATTGTAAGTAGTATTATATTGACATAAGCTATGTCATGCAAAATCCTATTGACCATCAATCAAATGCATATTTTACTACCAGTAGAAAGTAGTTTTGATTTTGTAGCTCGGTGCAAACAAACCTAAATAGCATTTATTCTCAGACTGCCAGATGTTCGCGACAGGGCACCGCCATTTTTATAAATCGTGACGTGACGGGCTAAAGTCTGTTCAAGAATCAATGAGATTATGGTTTGTTTATATCAAGTTACAACATCAAAACTACTTTCTACTTGTAGTTAAATATGTATTTGAATCATGACCAAAAGGATTTTGCATGACACAACTTTTAACATAACGATTTCTTCCACGGAAGCGAGGTGGGGGTCGAAGTGACAATATTGCAGGATAAAGTTTTTGGTACATTCACGTGGTTAACGTCCACTCACCAGTATGTAGATACTAGTCGATCTTCTTCCTGTAACTATGATTAGCGAGGCTGATCATCGTTTTCACTATCACTAGCATCTGGTTCGAATAAATAAGGCCTTGCGACAACAAGCGATTTTGACAGTATTGTCTATGAAAACAAGTTGTAACTCGGAAGCTATGCAAAGCAGGTGACAAGATTAAATGTCAGTAGATTGTGAAAACATAAGCTTTCACTTTTCACAACAGTTGTCACAATTTCAGATTTAGACAAACACGTAAACAAGATAATCAACCGCCGGACATGTACATGAATTCTAAAGTGCCCTCCTATGTATAGCTCACATTACGTCACGGAGACGCGCCCCTCTGATTGGTTGAAATTGCGTTCGCGGGAGAGAATTGTGCACTGTTGTCAAAAAAGTCGATTTAAGTTAATTAAAGGTCGAAATGAGTAGTTTTAATGATGGGGTTTCATATATATCGATGCCAATGATTTATGTATTTGTACCCCCCAAGAGTATATGTGATCTTTAAGGATGGCAAGGTACATTTACTTACCTAGAGATTCCTTTTTCATGTTGTCCTTGAATGTGTAATCCACCAATTTTCTATAGATTGGATATCTGCAATACCCAGTCCAGTTCACATAGGTTTAAACATCAGAACAAATAAGTAAGAAATTATTACAGATGACACTTGCTGACTCTTTAGATGCATTGTTTTCAACTGTAAATGGGCACATACTTCACCTTAATATCCCCCAAAATAATAACTTTACTCACCACAAAAGTTTGATGACTTTCTTGTTCCAGCTTTGTTTGGAAAGCTTGGAACTCATCTAAGTTGCCAGCTTGTGAAATATTTATCCTTTCCACAGTGTTTTCAGATTGTTGACTGCCTGCATTTTTCTTCATATTTTCCAGTGAATTTTGGATATCAGTAAGTAGAAACAAAACTCTTCTCTGAAAACCTGAAATATAAATTCATTATGCTTAATATATTAATTGGATGATCATATTTGACTATGTGATGAATAATGCCCCATGGTAGCCAAATGCATTGAGTTCCTCATGTACCTGCCCATCATTACGTAGTCAAACTGGACATGATGGTAGATTTTTATCACTGATCACGGTGAAGATAATGGTGATGTAATGATTCCAAAAAAGTTTTGAAGAACTACCACGTAAATGTTAAATAGAGATCTTGTAGCTTTTAAGAAAAGAATTTAATATATTACATACAAGCCTCAAACATGGCCTCGAAACCGTTCTGTTTTGATGAACTGGCAATGGGTTGTACTACAAGAGGGGGTGGTGTGATGATGTTCCTTGACAAGCTTCTGCTTGGGCCAGCACCTTTTCCTGCTGACTCAGGGCTGGCACATGAGCTCCTTACACTTTCTTCCCGCCAGTGTGAATGTCTGTTTGAAGTATCAGGAGATGATGTGGAGACAGAGATGGAGAAGGAACTGGAGATGGCACGGGTGATTGTTCTTCCACGCAGGAGGCCAGATATCTTGCCAAATTATCCAGTCCTGTTAATTTACGAACATGATGTAAATTCAGCTTCACGGTTCAAACTTTGGTCTCTCAAAACATTTGTAAATGTTTGGTTGTGATATTAGGAAAAAAATGTTTTAACCAACTCGTTTCATAATCTTCCATGACATCTTCTTTTTCAAAACAAAGGTCAAAATGCACTAGAATGATGTTCTTTATATTTATCAGTTAAGTATTCACTATTGTTTGTAATCATAAAAAATATTGTAAGTTCAATTAGGCCCCCCCCAAAAAAAATTATGCGTGTTTAGGGTAACATGAAATTATAAAACAGGGTCGTTAGGTAGAGTTTAAATTTTTTTTTACACTTTTCTTTTTAAAATGTACTCACATATTTTTCATATAACCACATATTTATGTAATATCAGGCACCAGGTTTTAAAGAAAAGAGGGGAAACCAGTTTAAAATTTTAATAACTGAAGAAGCATCAACACTTTCTAAATTCAACATTTATGAAAAACAAGAGTAAGTGAGCACAGGTCACATATGGTCGCCCCCCAGATTGGGGAGTACATGTTACGTGTCTTACAGACACCTACTACAATACATGTAGTATTAGTTGTCAAAATATCACTGACGATATAGTTTACTTGACTTACAATGGCGGACATACAGTACACAACAACCGGTGACGTCACACTCTAAGAGTAGGGGAGGTGTTGTATATCACGTAACATCCCCCTTTCTTTAAAGGAAAGAATAGAAGTGTCATTTCTTTGGCTGGATGAGAATTAGAGTTCATTTGGCTGAAGACCAATATGTGTCACATAGGGGATTTATCATTAAATGTAAGATGAAAACTTAAAAAAAAACTATTCAGTGATTTAAAAGTCAAGTCTTGGACGGAATTTACTGCTTGAACTTAATTATCATTTATGAGTCTATAAGTCAAGTCTGCGGATGGATTTCACAGCTCTCCCGGATCTGGTGTGGTATGCTGGCGGGTGGACTTCACAGCTCTCCCGGATCTGGTGTGGTATGCTGGCGGGTGGTCAGCATCAGGAGGTTGCTGCTTAGGGAGTGTATCTTCAGGTGTAGACGTTGTCGACGGAGTTCTCGGAACGTTGTTCTGCAGGGTTGTTACTGCAGGCTGTGGAGGGTCAGAGACTGGCATCTCGGTGTTGGTAGGTTCTGGACGTCGGGACTTCGTCATGAGACGGAGCTGTTGACGGTTGCGTCGGTAGTTGTACCCATCATTTGTCTGCACCGTGTAAGTTCTACTTTTCAGCTTCCCGGTGACTGTAGCTTCAGACCATTCTGTCTTCCCACTTTGTATGGGCTGCATGCGGACTGTATCACCTGTTGACAGTGGTTTGAGGGGTTTGCCTGGATTAGACGTATCGTGTCTATCAAGGATGCACATTCTTCTGTCTGCAAGATCTTCTTTTTCATGGTTGAACTTTGATGGTCGTAATGGTTCGAGGGTACTGGGTACTTGTGTTCTAGTGCTGCGTCCCATCAAACGTTGTGCTGGGCTCCTTTGAAGACCTTCGGTTGGGGTGTTTCAGATGTTGAGAAGATCTAGGTACTTCTTGCTAAAGTTCTGGAACCTATTGCCGGTATATTGGGGTCCATCATCGCTTATGACTGTGGATAGAAGGGCATGACGAGCAAAGTGTGGTTTCAGTTTCTGTATCACAGCTTCAGAGGCGATTTCAGCACATATCCAAAATACAAACCTGCACAAAGTAAGCACCATCTGTGTCTGCAGTAGACTTGGGAAAATCAGCTCCAATTTCAACAAAGTGGTCAATCAACAGGTTAAAGATTTCATCTTTTCTGCTCAGACCATCTTTCAATCCACAACTAGAAATAGAATAAAATATTACTATTTCAGAGCACCTGGCCGGTAGTGTCATTATTTTCATCAAATACAATTGAAACTTCCTCTATTAAGTTTTGTGTTTGTATAATTTCTGTCAGACTACAAATTATGATGACTGCATTTATAAAAAGAATATTACCATTTGGTTTTTTTCTTTGGAAATGGTCTTCCCTTTGACTTTAAGATTTCAAAGGCGTTGATGGCTTTCTTAGTTGTCTCACAAATTATTTCTTCTGCTTGAGCATGATCATTGTCATAAATACACTGAAAGTGTACAGATTTCACACCAAAAGAATTTATTACATCTGAAACAGTTAGTGCACCATCAACTTCAAATGCTTTCTCCTGGTCGTAATGTGTTTCCGTACACACTTGACACTTTACAGAAATACCCTTCTCAGACACTGAGATACCGTGATACTGTTCAAACAGGTCTGTTAGCAATAATTTATGAGGCACAGATGTCATGATACGTTTTCTTTGTTTTATGTGGTGACATTTTGATATGTCTATGGCCAATACACTTGCAGGAACAGGCCGAAACCCCACTGGGGCATATGCCTCGGGCCATGCGGTCTCGTGGATAACGTAATCTAAAGTTATAAACAAAATGGCGTCTCGCATTACAAAATACCTCGACAGCAGCAGAGATAATTCTATAACAAGCTTAATGGTCTCTGTTGGAATAGGTTTCTAATACTCATGTGTCAGAAAATAAATTTAATTTATTATGTGATGAGTAAAATTGTTAGGCTCGGCGGGAATATTTAGGGTCGGTCGTGAAATCGGAAGCACAAGCTTTTTTTTTTTAG